TGGTTAAAATGTATGAGCTGAGTGGATAACCTTTTTTGCTCTACATCGAGAAAAGCACTGAATGTATTTGGGTGCATGTCAGGAAGTTAGCACCTGGAGGCAATTAAAACACCCAACTCTTGCAGTTACCATCACAAAGTGCACCCGATTCTGGTGTCACAACTGAGTCAGCTCACACAGTGGCAAAGCATGCTCATACTTTTAGATTTAGCTTAGCGGTAATTTTGTTAGGACATTATTATCTCATATTTCAATGAAGGATAATAGCCTATAAATCCTGTTAGATATTACATGAAAAGGATTTTCCTTATAAATCCAGAACTTGCCGGAGGAAGAAGATGTTTTTAAGTTTACAAATAATTCAGTGATAGCTGCTCATACATCCACAGGTGCACCGCGAATAGGAACATCTATATGCTAATTTCTTTTGCCTTAATTTGTTTTGACATTATGACACTGACAGGTGACACATCTCCCTAGTCTTGGGTACGCTGGATTTAACAACACTTGCCCATCCTTGATTATAGCTCCTCCTGAAAGACTCCTCTACCTTCTCTCCTCCAGATTTATTTTAGAAATTGAGACATTTTGTAATGGATTTCCAGGTCACAGACAGGTAGACAAAGGAGATGAGGAGGAAAATGAGAAAAGGCCACAGACTAAATACAAACTAGGAAGGAAGGAACAGGTAAAGTCAGACAGGTACTAGCAAGGGGAGGGAAAACAACAGAGTGGAATAAAAACACAGAGCCACATGAAGCACTAAACTTCCAAATCAATCTGGGAGTAACTCAAAGAAGGACCAAGAATACATTCACAAACACGAGTTGGTTACAGAGTGGAGAAACGCAACAGTCACGTGGAAGAGAAACTTCAGCAAAATTTGAAAAAAATCTAAGAATTAACAAAATAATCAAAAACCAAGTAAACCAAGAGGACCGAGTCTAAGGGTTATCATCTAGGAACTATAGTTTTAAAGTACACCGATCAGGCATAACATTTTGACCACCCTGACCCATCGAGGCGTGGACAGTAGATGTGTTGTGGTATCTGCACCAAGATGTTAGCAACAGATCCTTTAAGTCTTGTGTATTCTGACACCTTTCTATCAGAATTAGCGTTCAAGTTTTCAGCATTTTGAGCTTCAGCAGCTCGTCTGGTGGATCGGACTACGCGGGTCAGCCTTCGTGCATCAGTAATCCTTGTCCATGCATGACCATGTCGCTGGTTCACCACTGTTCCTTCTTTGGTTTCTGATAGATCACCCCACAAGAGCTGCAGCTTTCGACCCAGTCATCTTGCCTTCACAATTTGGTTCCTTGGGAATGTTCAAAATGTTTACTTGCTTCCTAATATTTCAAACTAACAAGGCTCCAAGATGAAGAGATAATCAGTGTTATTCACTTCACCTGTCAGTGATCATCATATTATGTCTGATCAGTGTAAATATAACATTGTTGTCCTGTAAAACAGAAGTATAGTGCAGCACATTTACAGTAAATGTACTTCTATAGTTAAATCTCAGCTCTCTTATCGTCTCTGTAATCAATTGCAGTTGACTATGATGACCTCGATGACTGAGAACCTTCACAGACAATTGCAGTTATGTTATTGTTTTTTGCCATTTCATCAGTTTACATAACTAATCTGTCTGATGTAAGAAGCGATCTTTACTGATTATTCTAGAAGTGCATATGTGCAGACGTCCCACCACCTCATAAAAATATAAACATACACACATGACAGGAGCTTCTTATCAGCCAGTTAACCTACTCAAGGTTATGTAATCTTTAATCGTATTTATTGCTACCGTATGTTAGTAACAGCAGGATTCTTCGTGTGGAGGGAAGCCATAAAAGAAACAGAAAGCCATTCACACAATCGATTTAAACGAAAGAGAGAAAACTGTTGGAATTTAAAGAGCGCAGGGAAACAAATAACCTTTGAAATGATTCTCTCTCCATTTTCCCCATTTTTCAAACACTGAGTTTATCCCATTGGGTCATTATGAAACTTCGAGACAAAAGCTTTCTAATCCTGGCTCTTCTGCACTGCCTTTGATGGTTGGGCATGCATGCAAGTCAATGAGCGTGTATGCGTGTGTGTTCGTTTGCCGGCATTAGTTGTGCGCTGCATTGTGTGTCTTGACTAATGCTGCCCTAAGCTGCACGCTGACCCCACGGCACCCGGCGATAAGTGCATGTGTGTGTAAACCTGCAAGTGTTTGTGCGCAAATGTTTACATTAGATTAGCCAGAACTGAAATTATCTCAGCGGGTTGTTGCAGCATCAAGAAAGAGATACATCAAAGAGAAATAGAAAGGTATGCAGCCTTAAACTTCTCATGACTGTCAGAAAGCTTCAAATCAAAGAGTAGGAAGGTGCAGGTTTAAAAGAAGAAACAGCAGGTGGACTCTATCAAACACAGCAGAGCATATAGCGAAAGATGATGGTAGAAATTAGTATCCGGGAAGCATCGGCTCCTCCTCCCAAATCCCAAGAATATTAAATCCCGCTGTGGGACTAAAAGTTTGCACCAAACAAAGAGCCGGCGCCTGCCTTAGTTGGTCCCAAGAAACCGCTGCTGTCAAGGAACTGCGATGCTTTTGTTGGCCTACATCGATAAACCACGCCTCCCTCTCCACAATCCATCCAGTCCTCTGATTCCCTCGCCGCGGCTTTATTCTTTCACATCACATCTTTCTCACGTTAATCTGTGTTTCTACTTTCGTGCCAGCACCCCCCACATGTATATGTAGGGTTAGTGAGCTTATTGTGTTTCTGTGTGTGTGTGTGTGTGTGTGTGTGTGTGTGTGTGTGTGTGTGTGTGTGTGTATAAGCACGCCTTTTAGGCAAGAGCACTAGTAGACCTCTGGTTGGACGCTAAAGCCAGGGTAGCTGGGGGAAATTAAAGTAAGGACTTATCACCACAGAAGGAAGAAGCTCTTATAGTGGCTCAGTAGCTGCTCAGTATTCTCATTGCACAATAGAAGCCATAGTGGATTGTACCACAATACACCGAATGGACGCTCTTTGGGAATTTCTGTTTTACATTCTATAAAAAAAACTGGAAAGTTTCGAAGTTCATGTGTTTTTGATTTATGACTTAACTTGCTTCTCTTTGTTATACCCAGAGAAGATGCACAAAATGAAAGGATGAACGTCAGGTTACTTTAGAAGCAAAGACGGTGCGTTTTGCAATATCTTGCATTTGTTAGGCTGCGGTTTTTGTATCCCTGTGTTTGCTTTATGACATATCTCTAAATGTTTGACTGTGTTCATTAGACCTTAGCAGTGCTTTTGGAGTCCACAGGATAAAATGTATATTGATCTAGCACAATGGGCAGCCAGAAAATGCACCACATTCACTGCAGTGAGTTTGCCAACTCCATTCACTGAGATGGATTTTATAGACAACTAACAGTGCCCGGCCTTCGCTGTTAGTGAGGGCCTGGATTCTAGAGGAGGGAGAAACCGTAGACATTTCTTTACAGCCAAATTAAAGCATTGAGTTAAAAAAAATGACTTCTTTGTCTGAAAACGACAGCAAGTCACATTAAAAATGTATGCATGCACGCAGCCTGCAAGTCCTTGGGCTTATTTGATAGGGTTATGTTTTCAAAAAAGCAACCTAGAACTATTAAATCAAGCTGTATATTCTTTTTCATTTCATATCTTTTTTCTTAAAAGCACTTCTTTCCTTATCGGAGAGGAACAGCCTTTTACCATGTTCTGACTGTTGATGTTATATAGTTTGTGACGCACGTGCTTGGAACGTAATAAACTCAACAACCAGCTGATCCAAGCTGACTTGGCCAGAGCGTGAATGAGTAAAAAAACAACTACACCTAAGAAATATTAGAATAGAGCCTGTTGTGATGTTAAAAATATCGGCCAATATATTTAAATATGAGATTTTCAAATCAAGAAATTCCAATATAGGTCTTAAAATCCTCTATTGATCCGGCTCTGATAAGAAAAGAATGAGACCTTCATTTTTAGTTGTGTTTTCTACACAGTACAATTCTAAACATCAATAAAAACGCCAGGAATAATTTTTTGTTTTGGTTATCAGCATGCTGATATTAACAGCCATATAACCGTTTTATTTGGTTCTTTTGAGCCAGTTCTGATATTTAAATGAGTGTTTAATCATTAGCTAATGCTAAGCAAGCTTGATTAGCAAGCTGCATCCATAAACCATACAGATTTGTTGGATGGGCTGTGCCTCAAAGGAATAATTATTTATCAGATAATTCCACAAACCTGGAGATGCCTGAAACTGCAGATGGCTTCCACAGTTCTCAGTAGAGGTTTGTTCTTTGGTTTTTTTAGCATTTGATTTTTCACGTGTTCCACAAAGGAGGCCTACATGTCTGACTGTGACGCTACAGAATACTCTGTAAGTCATGTGTGGAAAAGTGAAGAATATGTTGACAAAAATAATAGAACACCTTTTACCAGTGCTTTATTTTACCTTTAAACATAGTTTACATTTTACATTCACACACTAATGATCTCATATTTACTAATTTGCATAACCGAGGTAAGCATTTAATTTATGTATGACATTTAGGTTCCTCACTTGTTGTGGTAAAGGTCAAATCATTCAGCCTGTGCTTATGTCCCAAACCTAAATTGGCCGGCCTTTAGTGAACTGTCACTTGGAAACAGTCACCTGGTGACGCGCATCTTTTTTAATATTGTGCTGAATAATTTCACCCTAAATAAACAGTTATTGTAGATCACTGAAACAGAACAGAAATCTCTGTTTATTTAATGTGTCGTTTTTTCCCCCCCCTTTTTTCTTTTGATTTATTCCAACTTATTATGCTTCTCTTTCTGTCTCTCTGTCTTTCTTTCTTCCTTCTCCGGTAAGCATTTTAAATCAGGGTCACAGTAGGGAGGCAGGCTAACAGGTTCAGCTCCGCACACACATCTCTATCTCTGCATTCATCAAAGCATACTATATTTTCTCTCTCTCTGTGTGTCGCTCTGTAGGGAGTTTGGCTGGAGGGATCCAGAGCTGCCAGAGGTGATCCAGATGTTGCAACATCAGTTCCCATCAGTTCAATCCAATGCTGCTGCTTACCTCCAGCACCTCTGCTTTGGAGACAACAAGATCAAATCTGAGGTATCAATCACTGAGGGAAACCTGCACAGACACAAAATTCTCACACACGGAGAAATTAAATATGTCATATTTAATTGACATAAATTAAATTATTTAATTTAATTGATGTCATAGCGCTACAACATAATGTTGCTTACACACACACATGCATGCTTTAACTCTGTAAGTTTAATCAGAACACCCACTGAAATTCTTTCCCAGGGCTTCCTCTGGTGCAGATGAAC